TACTACTAAACATTCTACAATGCACTAGGCAGCCCCCTTCAACAAAGGATTATTCCATCCCAAAAGTCAATAGTGCTGAGATTAAGAAACTCTTGAACTAAAATGTTTTTTCTAAAGAATAAATTGGGTCATGTCATTCCCTTGATTATAAAACCCAAACTCTTGGCCATGGTCCGAAACGCCCTATATAGTCTGGCCCCTGCCTACCTCTCTGATCTCATCCGTCTTCAACTTCTTTCTCAATCATTAAACTCTGGTCAAAGTGGCCTTATGTCCAGGAAAACATACCAGGTTTGTGCACAAACACATCAGAGATTCTTACGATCTTCACACTTACTGCTTCTACTAGGAATGTTCTCCACTGCATCATCTCAAATGTCATCCATCTCCTCAGAGAGGTGGGTATTCCCTGAACATTGTGGCATTAGTAGTCACCATTGCCACCAACACCACCATCAGTTACACACTGTTATATTTTCTTTGTATCACTTAAAAGAATCTGAAATTTTGTATGTCTATCTTTTGCCCTCCCTACTAGAATGTAAGCTCATTGAGAATAGGAATATCTCTAGAGTCTAGTAATAAATGTTCAATAAATATTTGACTACAACAGGGCTCTCCAAACCCAAGCCAACATTTGATCTGGTGATCAAATAAGCAGAGATTAATGTCCAATACTAGAGGAAAAAATGGCTCTGATAGACCTGCTGAGATGAGGATGTGGCAGAATCCAATGTAGTGCTATTCTAAGGGATTTTCAATACAGTTTTAAAAATGCAAATTTGGGAGGCTCCTGGGAGGCTCAGTTGGTTGAGCGTCCAACTCTTGATTTCAGCTCAGGTCATGATCTCACCCTTCATGCAATCAAGCACCATGCCAGGCTCACTCTGACCAGTATGGAGTCTGCTTAGAATTCTCTCTCTCTCTCCCTTGCTCTCTGCCCCTCCCCTGCTAGCATGCACACTTGCTTGCTCACTTTCTCAAAGTAAATACATTTTTAAAAATGCAATTTTTTTTCATTTCATTTGCTGAGTTAGAAAATACAACTCTATTATATTGCTCTTGTTTATGTCAGTCTTCTATTAAACTGTAAACACTCTAAGGGCAGAAGCCATTTTAGTATGAAGCTAGGCATTTAGACTTTTATGCACTATCACCACCAGCTAGTAAGTTGGAAATTTTTGTCTCATTTATTACTGTGTGGTTTCTGTCTCCTGAGGTGATTCTGATAGATATAACACACTTCATCCATCACCATCAGTAACCAAACCCTATAGATTTTACTTTCATGCTTTATCTATAAAATGTCACTATTTACTTGTTAGAAATTACCTCTTCCTTTCCATGCCTACTATCACCTCAGCTGGCACCTGCATTATCTCCTCTCATGATGTATCCAACTGGTTTTTCCTTGTCAAATCAGTACTCATACAGTATTGCTAACTCAATCTGTTTGTTACTGTGTAAAATTAAAGTGGTATGGATTCAACAATGGCTACCATTTATTAAGTATGAACCATGTGCTAGGGCATTGTGTTAAGCACTTAACAAATTTTTTATATTCTCTAAGATTAAAAAAATGCTTTTGGTAACAGCTTTATGAAGATATAATTCGCTCATGTAAAGTGTCCAATTCAATGGTTTCTAATATATTCGCAGAGCTGTACCATCACCACAATCAATTTTAGAACATTTATATCACCCGCAAAATAAAATCCATACCTTTTAGCCATTACCCCGATACCCTCATCCTGCTCATCTGTATGCTGCCACTAATCTACTTTGTCTTCATAGATTTGACTACTCTAGACATTTCTTATAAATGCACTCATATACCATATGGTCTTTGTGACTTTCACTTAACATGAACATCAATGAACATGTTTTCAAGGTTCATCTACATTGTAGCATGAATAAGTACTTCATTCCTTTCTAAGCCCAAACATTTCATTACATGGACACACATTTTATTTACCCATTCATAAATTGATGGACATTTGGATTTTTATCTTTTGGCTATTATGAATAATGCTGCTATGGCAGTTTGTATACATGGTTTCATTTCTCATGGGTACATACCAAGGAGCAGAATTACAGGATCAAATGGTAACTCAAAATTTAACTTCTTGGGGAGTTACTGCCAGACTGTTTTCCAAAATAGCTGCACCATTTTGTATCCCCACATAAGTGTATAAGGGTTACAATTTCTCTACATCACAATACTTGTTATTTTTCTTTTTTATTACTGCCATTCTAGTGGATGAAGTGCCATTTCATTATGGTTTTGACTTGTATTTCCTGATAACTAAAGATGTTAAGCATATTTTCATGTGTTTACAGATCATTTGTATATATTCTTTGGAGAAATATTTATTTGGATCATTTGTCCATTTTTTTTGTCCATTTTTTTTTTTTTAATTTTTGAGGGAGGGGGAGAGAGAGAGAGAGAGAGAGAGAAAGGCAGGGGAGGGGCAGAAAGAGAGGGAGACTGAGGACCCAAAGCAGGCTCCACGCTGATAGGAGAGAGCCCAAAGCAGGGCTCAAACTCATGAACCGTGAGATCATGACCTGAGCCAAAGTCAGACACTTAACCCACTGAGCCACCTAGGTGCCCCTGCCCATTTTTTAATTGGGTTATTTGTTCTTTTATTGAGTTGTAACATTTCTTTATATATATTCTGGATATTAGTCCATTATCAGATATATGATTTATGAATATTTTCTCCCATTCTTTACACTTTTTTGATGGTGCCTTTTTCACTAGTTTTTAATTTTAATAAAGTCCAATTTATCTATTTTTATTTTGGTCGGTTATACATTTGGTGTCATATTTAAGAAACCATTGCCCAGGGGCGCCTGGGTGGCGCAGTCGGTTAAGCGTCCGACTTCAGCCAGGTCACGATCTCGCAGTCCGTGATTCCGGCGACGCGATCAGGCTCTGGGCTGATAAACCAGAGCCTGACCTGAGCGGCGGCGATTCACCGTAATCTCCCTCTCTCTCTGCCCTCCCGTTCATGTATACAATGCTCTCTCTCTGTCCCAAAAATAAATAAACGTTGAAAAAAAAATTAAAAAAAAAAAAAGAAAGAAACCATTGCCCAATCCAACTTCATTAAGATTTACCCCTATGTTTTTTTCTAAGAATTGTACAGTTTTAGTGATTTACATCTTCGATACAATTTGAGTTAATTTTTTTATGTTGTGTGTGTGTGTGGAGGGGGCGTCCAACTTCATTCTTCTGCATGTGGAATCCAGTTGTTCCAGCACTGTCTGTTAAAAAGTCTGTTCTTTTCCCATTGGATTATTTTGTCACTCTTGTCAAAAATCAATTGATCATAAATGTTAAGAATTTCTTGCTTCTCAATTCTATTTCATTGATCCATATATCTATCCTAGGCCAGTACTACACTGTCTTGATTACTACTGCTTTGTAGAATTTTGCAATTGGAATGTGTGAGTCTTCCAATTTTGTAAACATTTTCATTTAACTCTTAATGTAACAATACTAGGCATCATCCCAATTTTACAGATGAGGAAATTAAGGAAACTTAGAGAAGTTTAGCTTTCCCACAGACACAAACATATTTGGTAGTTGCTCCAGGATTCATACTCAGATCTATGTAAATCTAAAACTGACCAGTAAGCAATGCTCCTTCTATAATCTGGTCTCAATATACCTTCCAGACTAAATTTATACTAATCCCCCAATGTACCCTAAAATATCTCCTATTCTTTTCTGCTTAACTCTTATTCCTTCCATCTGAAATGACCTGCCCTCCATTTGTTTAATAAAATTCTACTTCACAAGAGCTTCACTATTCACTTAGTGATCTCTCTTTTCACTCTATTACCTTAGGAGTACAGGCCTCTCTCATGGTTCTTATTCCGTATCACATCTTATAATAGAGATTATCTATGTATATGTATTACTTCCCTTCCTAGGTTAAAAATAAGGTCCATCTCTCATTCACCTTTGTAACTCTCCAAAGCTGTAATGCAGTACCTTTCACACGGTAGGTACTAACTTCATACTTTGAATGAATATGTGAATTCTAATATTACCCCTCACAGAGTGGGCAATAAGAATGTATATGCATGTGTTAGGGCTGGGGGTGGGAGGCTGAGGTCATGGCAAGGTCGTAGGAATGACTATTTAAGGAAAATCCTCTTCTTGAGAATGTGATAAGAGAAGGATGGCATGAGATGGGAAGTGGCAGAGTAGCAGGCCCAGAGAGCTGGTGTTAACAACTCTTTTGGCAAAAGAGAAACCTCAAGTCTTGATATTGTGAGTAGACAAGTAATACTTGCCAGTGAATAGAAAAAAGGATACAACAAGAAGCCCCAAACTGAGTTTATTATGGTATAGACTAGGTAATAACAAATAACTCCAGTACATTCAACTAAAGCCTGAGATACCCTGGGATATTTAAATATAACACCAAGCAAAAAGCTACTCTAGGGTGAGAAGAGCCCAATAGAAAAGAAGAAAATAAGATATTTATCTAGAAAAAGCCAGGAAATCGAACAACATACCAATCCTCACAACTTCTCCCACGTTCCCAACCGCTTCTCTGACTTGCCCATTCGTGTACCACTTCAAGTCGTTAACACCTCTCCATTTTTTAGCCAAGATTTCTGGGTAACAAGAAAGTCTTTTCCAAAAGAATAAGGTGTCATTCTTCTCCTTTACACCATCTGATTCAAGGTAAAACTTTCTCACAAAGGGAACTATTAGGAATTCTAGGCTGGAAAGACATACCAGGGCCTCTTGCCATGTATTAAATCTAGAATCCTGTCTCTAGAAGCTATTTATGGCTAACCTCTTAGAAATGAGTCACATCACACAGAACTCCCATTCAGCTGAGAATCTTTGCCTGGACAAGTGAATGAGGTTTAGGACATAGTGGATTTCAAAGTCGGCAACAACCTGACATCAGCAGAGTAATTTCATTACAACCTCCCCATTTTCTAGAAATCCAGTCAGGATCTGGGTCAGCTATTTAAACTCCACCATCTACTTTTTCTTCCAGTTGCCTCCTATCCAACTGGCAGGAACTTCCAAGAAAGATGATATAATAGGCATTGCAGTATACTGGCTGCTTGTTGGGGTTGGAATAGACCTGTTCAGGTTTGAGGGATGCAAAAGGGTTAGCTCCATAGGCGGTGATGTTTGTATCCAAGTCCACCAGAATCTGTAATGAGGCTGCCAATTCCTGATGGCTATGGGAGACAGATAAAAAAAAAATAATAATAATAAAATGCTGTGCTAATTATGAGAAACATAGGAGAGAAATTTCTCAGAACTTGATGCTTCTGTACTCATTAATCCCCAAAATTACCTAAGGCTGGTTTAGGCGAGGGGATATCCCTTCCTACCAAATGTCTCACTAATCACCTGATTAACTAGCATAGGACTTGGTTCTAAGGGGATTAGAAAGCCAAGTGTGGAAAGGAAGAAAATCCTCACCAGAAGATAGAAGATGAGCAAAGGGGAGAGAAATGAGCTCATCTATATAAAGAGAGGTGTTGAGGGGTGCCTGGGTGGCTCAGTCGGTTAAGCATCTGACTTTCGCTCAGGTCATGATCTCACGGTTCGTGAATTCAAGCCCCACATCGGGCTCTGTGCTGACAGCTCAGAGCTCAGAGCCTGGAGCCTGCTTCGGACTCTGTGTCTCCCTCTCTCTCTGCCCCTCCCCCCCCTCTCGCGCTCTGTCTCTCTCTCTCTGTCAAAAATGAATAATAAACATTAAAAATTTAAAGAGAGGTGTTGAGTGAGTCAGGGATATATCAAAAATAGGAGGAAGTTGAAACCTGTAAACAGTGATCAATGTAGGGATCTCATAATCACGAAGTAGCAAGAGGGTGGGCAGCCAAGCCTCCATTAAGTCTGGGGAAGCATGGAAACCTATGGAAAAAACAACAAAAATAGAAATGGATATAGAGAGGGGAAAGGCTGAAGTAGGGCCTAAGCAAGATACTTTTTTTTTTTTAATTGTGTTCACCTTTCTCCTCACCTTGCTCACCTCCAATGCTCATTTACCATCATCATCTACCCCAGGTTCTTCAGTGGAAAATTCTGAACCCGGGCATAGCACAAATGGCTAATGATCAACCAAAGTTGTCATCATATTGTGTTTAACCTGACCAAATGAATGGGATTCCAAATATAGAAGATACAAGAGTCAGGATAGAAAATTCCCAGAAAAGCCACCCAGTATTCCCCTAAATGATTCTTACCTGGATGGAATGTCACCACCAAATCCGGATGGGCTATCCGCCCAGTCTCTACCTCCTCCTCCCAGAAGTCATGATAGAGGCCTCTATGGCCACTAAGCTGAACTGTGCCAGGTTCCAGGATGGGAGTTGAGGGGTTCTGTGTAAAGCCAGCAGATACGTCTATACCCACCATGATCACACGGAGGCCAAGGTGTCCAGGAAACATGTAGCCAAGCTCATCATAGTCCTCAGGGCGAGTGAGGAATGTCTCCACGTGGGAAGCACCAACCACATGCACTGTGCTTCCCCCAATCTTCCCAACATTTATCCCCAAGGCCCGAAGCCCAAGGCCCAGTGTCAAGGGTCGTGAGAGGGCATCTGTCAGCAGCCGCTTCAAAGAGCCCTGCAAGACATCTGGGTCTGGCCTTGGCCGTCCTACGCTGGCCCACAGGGTGGTCATGGCATGACTACCTAGCACAGCATCCAGTGTAGCATCTAGCTGTAAATGCCGCATAGAAAACCAGGTATCCCAGCCCTGTACAGCTTCAGCCAGGCATGGCCAAGGCCCTGAAGGTAGGACAAAAGCACCTGTAGGAAAGAAGAAATAAGAATGACATAATCCTTTCCTGGCTTCAATATTCTTTCCAAGTGTACTCTCCCAACTTGTGACCAGGAGTGCCCCACTCAGTTTCTCATTTTTTCCTTCTAACAACATGCTTTCATCTCCCTCTCCAAGTACAACCAATTATGACCACTATGTCAGAGTTCTCCAACACTATCACTTCACCTGTGACTAGGAGCCATTCCATGAGACGGTCCACAGCTACAAGACGCAGCTCTTGACAAACCTTCCTATGTGCTGGCCAGTCTGACCTCTGGCACTCTGGACCACAGTAATAGACATTTCTGCACCTGAAAGAATGAGCCCCAGAAACAGATGTTCCTATACCTCAAAGGTATGTCAGGGGAAGGGGGAAGGGAACTGATATACCTGCACCTAGGAAGAAAGATCACTGGATAAGGAAGGTAAGGAGAGGAGTGACAACTGATGCACTAAATTTGGAGATTATATTTGGGAGGGGAGGCATGAGAGACTAGGAATGTAATTATTCTCTTGGGTTAGAGTGACACCTCAGTCTATATCTGGAACAACTCACTTTTTACATCACTTACAGAAAAAATAAATAACAGGAGTTTGCAGCTGCCCTATTATCACAGGTATGGCTCAACTCCCCAGAAGAGATAATGATCTTATACCTTGCGTACTCAAGAGGAGGGAGGTAAAGAAGATTATACAGTCGTCCCCCCTTATCCAAAGGGAATATGTTCCAAGATCCCCAATGGATACCGAACTCACGGATGACCTAAACCCTGTATATACTGTTTCCTCCTATACATACATACATACATATGTATCTATGATAAAATTTATAAATTAGGCACAGTAAGAGATTAACAATAAGACAATTATAATATACTATAATGTTATACGGAAGTGGTCTCTCTCTCAAAAGATCTTACTGTATTGTACTCACCCTTCTTCTTGTGATAATGTGAGATGATAAAATGCCTACATGATGAGATGAAGTGAGATGAATGACATAAGCACTACAACACAGCATTACACTACTAATGACTTTTTGACAATAGTCAGAGGAGGATCATCTGCTCCCAGACCGTGGTTGACCATGGATAAGTGAAACCACAGAAAGCAAACTGCAGGTGGGGGGGGGACTATTGTACCATAATCTGTCTGACCTCCCCATAATACCCAAAATAAGAAGGAGCCCAATCCTTTTCTAATCTTTCTGTGGCCTGGATCACACAAAATGAGTGGGCCTTAAGTTACTTTGAAAACTCTTAGACCTTTCCTCCTGCAAGGAAGTCTTAGAATAGGATCATTTCTGGATGACTCCCCATTTAGCCCCCAACTAGTCACCTTTTGCACTGCCGTAAGACCTTGGAGTCTGAAAGACCACTAGGGAGAGCTCTACAGTGAGCACAGAATCGGAATGTGTCCTCCATCTTCTGGAACATTTCTTGAGGGCATCGAAATCCAAAGCCTGATACAGAAGCACCCCCATCTAGCACCAACCTGCAGAAATGGCACGGTGAATAAGTGGCAATAGGAAAAAGAGTTATCTCCAAAATCTTTCATGACCTATACCTTGCCTCCAATATATTTCCATCTACTCCCACTATTTCTCACATAAGCAAATTATATTTCTTCTATAGTAATAAAACTTACAGAAGTCAGGATGAGGGACTCCCTCATTGTAAATGCCCCATATTCTCCAAGCTATATTCCCTCTTTGCCTTCTAAAATCAGTTCTACTAGAGATATTATTCTTCCATAGAGCGAGTCACTCACTTGTATTCTTCATAGCTTTTCATGCTTAGCTTTTGAAGGATTAGCTGAGATAGGCCAGGAACATTATTTTCCAAGGAGAAGAAGCCAAGCGCATCAATGCTAGGGTCAGGTTTTGAGAGGGTCAGAGGCACAGGGGTCACAACTGTGGATGGGGTCACAACCATGGGAGCCACTGATGAAGGGGGTTTCTTGTGCCTTCGCTTCCGAGATCTTGGAGCCATGGCTGTCCACTGATACCTGGGGACTATACACAGAACAGATATGGAATGAAACTTTGCAAGTTGGTCACATATGATGGGTTTTCATATGCTTGACCTTTCACTTCTCATTCTAGTCTCTCAGACCTAGGTATCCGTAAGACTTATTTGGTATCTACTGATTATTGATCACCATAGGCGATTATAAAAAAAACAGCAGGGAAATAATTATATATGAACATAATTATACATATATGTGTTACATATTAAGTTCTATGTAAAATTTAAATACATATGTAAGGAAATGCACAGGAAAAGGTCTGGCAGGTCTCATGTAAAACCAGTAACAGTGATTAACACTGAGGACGGAAAGAAGTAATGGGACAGGAACTGGGTTAATCAAAAGGAACTTTAGACCTATCTGTGATATTTGACTCTTGAATAGTTAGAATATATTTATATATTATTCGTATAATCCTTTTAAAAAATCAAAAATCCTTTTAAAGTGAGCAATAATATGGCATGTCCTACATTCACATGGTTGTGCAACCACCACCTCTATCTAGTTCCAAAACATTTTCATCATCCCAAAAGAAAACCTCATAACCAGAGGTGCCTGGTGGCTCAGTTGGGTAAGTGTCTGACTCTTGATTTCAAAAAGAGAGAAAAAAAATCAAAAGAGAGAAAAAAGCAAACAAAAGTTTTGGTTGTCCAAAACTACCAGCTAATTGGAGAATTAGTCAATTTCACTTAGTTGGGGAAATAAAACATTCATTTTAGAAAACCTATCATCACAGTTGTAAGCAATAGACCCAGAGGAAGAAATTAAACGCAACACAAAATCAGCATCACAATGCTAAGAGTTATATAGTTAAAGCAAGTTATAAAAAATTATGAAGAAACTTTCCTAAAGAGGCGAGTTTTGAAGTAGAACTGATCCTGCACCCACCCACTACCTAGCAGGAACTCTGTGATATTCTCCTTTCTTGGCTTGTCTTCTCCCATTCCTTCTACAATTGTTGAGTAAACAAAAGGAACTATATTGGGAAAAATAAAAACATGCATTCACTCAAAAAATATTTATTGCTAAACATATATAATCACTCATAAAATAATGGAAACAAATATGAAAAATATACTCAACATCTAGATGTCCTGTAGAGGGATCAAATGTAAATCATAACATAAGGCAGTATATAAATACTGTAAGTGAAACTAAAGCACTAGTGGGAAATCAGAAGAGTCTCTTTAGTTGGTTAGCTGTAGGAAGACTTTATAAAGCAGGTATCAGTCAAAATAGACCGATGGTAATTCTTTGAATACATGAGATAAAAAAAGGAATTCTTAGCACAGAGAAGAGCATGAGCATAGAAATGTAGATGGGAACACTCTAGAAATTAATGAAATAGAATGATTTGAGTTTGACTATAAGTATAACAACATAAACATTAAGAACTAAAACTATAAAGTCTTAGAAGAACACAAAGGGAAAAGGTCATAATATGGATTTGGCAATTTCTTAGATATGACACCATAAAAAGAAATGAAGTACTGATAATATGCTACAATGTGGATGAACCTCAAAAGCATTATGCTAACTGAAAGAAGTCAAAAGGTCACGTTATAGGATTTCATTTATATGAAATATCGAGGAAAGGTAAACCCACAGACAGAAATCAACTCCTGGTTGCCAGGGACTGGGTGGAAGAGGAATGGGGAGTAACTGCTAAATGGTTATGGGGTTTACTTTTTTTTTTTTTTTTAAGTTTATTTATTTTGAAAAAGAGAGAGCATAAGAGAGCATAAGAGAGCATGCACTCAAGTAGGGGAGGGACAGAGAGAGGGAGAGAGAGAATCCCAAGCAGGCTCTGTCAGTGCAGAGCCCAACTTGGGGTTCAAACCCATGGAGCTGTAAGATCACGACCTGAGCCAAAATCAAGAGTCAGACACTTACCCAACTGAGCCACCAGGCACTCCTGGTTATGAGGTTTTCTTTTGGGATGATGAAAATGTTTTGGAACCAGATAGAGGTGGTGGTTGCACAACCATGTGAATGTAGGACATGCCATTTAATTGCTCACTTTAAAAGGATTAATTTATCTTGTGAATTTCATCTCAATTAAAAAATAAAAAAGAAAGGTACCTGTAGAGATTGAGAATCTAAATACTAACTTTCCAATTAACTGCCTCCAGGGACAAGGAAATGGCAGAGGATAAAAAGGCTGACTGTGGTTGGTTTTACTATGAATAAGGTAACTTTTAAAGTTCAAATCACGGATCATGTTTTGTTACAAAAATAGTCTGACATTTACTCCTTCTGGACCAGATTTGTTAGGAAAAAAACTCTAGAATCATCATTCAGATGAAGTGTAGGTGGCAGAACAAACAAAAACCTCCCAGAATCATCCACTAAAATCTATTATCTGTACACCTGAAACTAACATAACATTGTAACTAACTAGAATTAAAATTGAAACTTAAAAAAAAGAAAAGCTATTATCTTATGACACGGCTTTTTGCAAACTGCTGTCCTCAGTTAATGAGGGAACTAATTTGTATTTTCTTTTGTACTTTCTTTCCCCTCCTTTCATTTCACTTGTGTAATCTCTCCCCTCTCACCACAGATAAATGGATGTTTTCAGAGTCCAAAGAACAGAGATAGCTAAGCTCATCTGCATTCTACATTCTCACTAATACAGAAGAAATTAGACCTGAAGGTGGTAGATTATTTTAAGATTTAAGGGTCCCTTTACTAAAGGATGCCTTCACACCTGAGTACCCCATTTCCAACAAGTGACCTGAATCTTCCCTCCACTTTTAATCACCACACATTCTCATCACATTTCCAGAATCATTGCAACTTTAGAAGCATTCATCTGCTCTACCTACCCAGCCTCCTCAGGCAAGAAAACACCTTCTTGAACCTTGAAAGAATGGATTCATCTTTTCTTTACAGGTATGGAGAAAAATTATCTTTGTTCTGATATAAGTCAAGGGTCTTAAATCCCAGGATTAATAAATATATATTCCTGATGTTCAACTAAAAGCCTTCTGCAATGGAAGCCAATTAAGACAAGAAATGTATTGCCTCACTTATCTGCCTTTCCAAAGAGGTCCTTCTTGAAAGGAAGACTAACTCTTGGCTCTCTAGAAGTTGACTGAACTCACTGGGAAGTGAAGGAAGGAATCACAGTTTGAGGAGGAGTGGGGCGATGAAATCCCTGAGAGTTTCCTCTATGTCTAGAATGGGCTCATGATACAAACTAACTAAATTTCTGGCAGGAAGGTAAGAAGGTGGGAATGAGAAGCCAGGTCCTTGCATTTGCATCTACGTGAAGCTCATGTCTGAGTTTGTGTACCCCAGGCCCAGACCCAGCTTCCTTGGCTCTAACTTTTCTGCACAGAGTCCCAGGATCCTCCAAGTTTGAGGGGAGGGACGGGACTGAGAGAAACAAAGGCAAAAAACATAGAGGACAAGGGAGAAGTTGGAAAGAATTACATATAATGAGCTTTCAGAATTTTCTAGAGATCAGAGTCTATGTCACCTAGCAAGGAATCACCTTTTTTCCAGCTGCCCCCAGTGGCTTGGGCTCTAATTTATTCTCCGTATATAAAAGAGAAAACACCAACACCAAGGACTAAAAAGGAGACATGAACTGGACGCTCTAGAAAAACTATTATCCTTCATCTCCAAATTCCCTAAATATTAGCCTATTCCCAGACCAGGTCTCCCATCCTTCTCCCTCACCACCAAAAGCCTCAAGTTTCACCTACCACAGTATCTTCTCGCTATCTCCAGACCAGGAAGACCTATGTAATTTTCTCTAATTCACCAGCAAACACGAAACATCTTTGGGGAGGCAGGGAAAGGGGAGAGTGATGCTAGTCATTGGGGATCCTCAAAAGGAGTTAGGAAAGAGAAAGCGAAAAGGAGGAATCCATTAGGAACACTATTATTAAGCACATTCAGATGCTTAATCAGTGCTAACACTCCTTGGGGTGATAAATGTTTTACTCAACTATAAACTAAGCAAGCAGATGATTTGAAGGGAAAGGAACTTACCCTGCTAAGCCCTAGGCTTCCTTCCTTCTCTCTTTCTTCCAAGTGAAGCGAATGCTTGATCTCCTCAGATCTAAGCTGTGGCTGACTTGCAGCTGTCCCTTCGTATCACTTTCCTTTGCAAACTGCTGAAATGCTGCGTCTCTGTGATTAGGTATACCCTGCCAACCAGACAGACAACGCTGAATTCTCCCTAACGAGGCAAGGAGGGACTTGGCCCCCTGCCCATGGACTTCTCTCTTTCTGACCTTCCTTGTCTGCCAAGATGGCTCAGTATTTATTCTGTCAACACACCCAAACTCACCAAAGGCCAGTCAGGCTAAGGAAAGATGAAACCTATTGCTTCTTTAACCTCTCTTACTAAGGCAGCATTTATGCTCTTAGTCCACAGTGGCAGAAAAACAAACAAACAATAACAAACAAAAACCACCTAGGATTAGTTCAGAAGTCATTAGTTGGTTGGAAAGGGAGGCACTAGCTCAGAGCAGTGGGAACTCCTGGAGTTCTGGATGTTAATCCAGACCCAGGAAGAGTTACCCCAAGCCCAAAGTCCCTTTTAGCCTAACAACACTGCTCAAACACAATGATTAATATAATTAATTTGTATATTAAGTACAAATGTAATACCCAAGAAAGAAGAATAGAAATGGTCTTTTAATGGTATAGAAGAAAATCAATTGTAGGGGAAACAAAATTAATTTGTAAAATTCACTTTCTCTGAAAGGAAAGCAAGGTACTTTCTGAGTGAATGTCACATCAGGCACACTCCATTTATCTCAAAAGAGTGAATAAGAAGAGGAATAAAATAAGCAAAATCAAAATATTACTAAAAATGCATTCTACTTCTAGGAACAGAAAATAAAAAAGAATCAATTCAAACATCTTCTCATTCCTTCCTATAATGAATACTGATCCAAGGGATTTAATTATACATTCCTAGCTCCTTTTCACTTACCAAGCTCCAGAGTCTATCGTAAGTTATTAGGACAATGGTCCTATATGACTGCAAGACCTAACTTTCTGTTTACATCTGGCCCCAGCTATATGTCACTTACCTGCCTCTGTGATCATCAAACTGGGGAACAGAACAACTTGCAGGGAGGTCCTGGAATGTGGTAAATCAAAAATCTATACATGAACAGATGCAGAGAATGGATTCCTTAAAAAAAAAATGTTTTTTTTTAAGTTTATTTTTGAGAGACAGACAGCACAAGTAGGGGAAGGGCAGAGAGAGACCAGGGAGACAGAATCTGAAGCAGGCTCCAGGCTCTGAACTGTTAGCACAGAGCCCGATGTGGGGCTTGAACCCACGAACCATGAGATCATGACCAGAGCCGAGCTGGACACTCAACCGACTGAGCCACCCAGACACCCTGAAAATGGATTCTTAAGGAACTCCAGACTATAGGAAGCAAACTGAAAGCAGATAAGGTGGAAGAAAAGTGTTAAGGATGCATTTACATGACATTATTCAGAACAGCCGTGGACAAAATCAGTTGCAATAGGCAAAAATCTGGAGTAAAATGGGAGTAATTCATTTTAAGCAAATGTTTCAGGTCTATTTCAAATCAACTGGCAGAACATTTAAAGGTTATGAGTTCTGTTAATATTAGCTGAACAACAGAAGGCACAAGAAGTGAGAGGTGGTCTTTTCTTTTAATTTTTTTAATGTTTATTTATTTTTGAGAGAGAGAGAGAGAGACAGAGACAGAGACAGAGTATGAGCAGAGAGAGAGGGAGATACAGAATCCGAGGCAGGTTCCAGGCTCTGAGCTGTCAGCAACAGAGTCCCACGTGGGGCTCGAACTCACAAAACATGAGATCATGACCTGAGCCAAAGTTGGACGCTTAACCAAGCCACCCAGGCACCCTGAGAGATGGTCTTTTCTAACTCAGGAGTGTCATCTTTGACTATAAAGGAATATAAAATAAAGAAAAAACTGATATTGAATATTAATTTATATTTTACCATCATAGCTACTAGCTCTGGCAGACATTTAAATTTACAATTTAGAAAGATCTGAACTTTTCAGTTTGCTTTCATCATGAATTACATTTATTTTTTTATTTATTTTTATTTTATGATAGAAAGAAAGTGGAGGGAAAGGCAGAGACAGAGGGAAGGAGAGAGAATCACAAGCAGGCTCCACACTGTCAGCACAGAGCCCAATGCGTAGCTCAAACTCACAAACCATGACATCGTGATCTGAGCCAAAGTCGGAGGCTTAACTGACTGAGATACCCAGTGCCCCATGAGTTACATTTTTAAAAAGCCTTAAAAATGCTTTCATGGTTCACTGTGAAACCTTAAAAAATACTTCTATCGTTCATAGTTCTGAAGAAAGATTAGAAAGAGGTTCCTATTCAACAGGTACAAAGTGGTAGGTGAGGCACTGGGTGATTTTTCTACCACTCTTAATGTATACCACTTTTTCTGAATTCTGTTCCTTTCTCTTACTTTCTTCCTCTTTTTAATTTTTACTATCAACCCATAATTCTAGTTTGCTAATGATGTTTTACGTTTACTCATGATTCCCCCCAGTGATGAATCTAAGGGCGGAGTTCCTGGTACCTGCTCTTAATTTAGAGATGCACAGTTTTCATAAAAACAGTAACATCAAGAAGAACCTTTACGGTATGCAGTGCATAGCAACTTTAAGGGTAGCTCATGGACTGGTATGTGTGTTAAGTTGATAATACAGCAACTAGAAGCTGTAATAATCATCAATTTGAGTTCTGTTTGTTACCTGAAATTAGGCAAGTATACACATTTCAATTTAAATTAATGCTTTCTAATGTGTATCATTATATTTATTGTTGAAAACTGTAATAAGGTTACCATATGATTACATTATAAAATGTTGAGCAATATCCTAATTTCCCTCAATTTGCAAAATTCCATACTATTTTGATTATGGCAAAGAAGGAATATGATGGCAAGAAAATGCAGTATCATGAATATCCTTTTTCTTACTGTTAAAACACCCAATAAGTTCCCAATACAACTGTAACAAAATTCTAGATAATAACATTTTCTTTCAATGAAAAGTCAAGTGAAATAATGATTTTAAATATAAGATTTAGAAGGCCTATAATAGGCACCCAAAGTCCTCTAGTGCTCAATTACTAATGCTCATGTAAGACAAATGTAACCAAAGTTAAAAAAAAAAAAAAGCAAAATTTATGAAGATAAGAATTTAATTCATCAAATTATCATGAACTATCCACGAGATAATCTTCTCTGAAGGCTATATACCAGTTCTGTTAACAGAATTTTCTGATTTGCACGAGGTCAAATCAGACTACATCTTCCAAATAAAACCCAACACAGAGATAGGAGCAGCGGCCCATGCATGGAATTTATTGTGTGCTACTGTTTATAAAATACTCGAATAGTCCTGCACATGCATAATATTTCCAACTTAGACAGGAGACCATACAGGGTGCACTTTCTGGCAAACAAAACAATAGATGGTTCCGCTGCCTGGAGCTCTGAGTTGTATTCCAGGGCATGAGGGAAGCAGGCCACCAAAGTAAAGGGAAATATCAAACTACAGTGGCAATCAATACAGGTCAATAATTGTGAAAAATTAGCACATGGTTCCATTTAGTTTAACCAAGCAGTTCTGTAACTATCAAAGGAAAATGTTCAACATGCAATCTTGACTTTTATGCTTCCACTAACATCTGAATGATTGAACAGAACCATTGCTTCTATGCTGCATTGCTTAATCAAAAACACTTCCAGAACATTTTTAAAATTTCCTTTGCATCAAAACATAAAAATGATAGAAAGCCAGCAGCAAATCACCCTGGTGGCTATTTAAGCAACTTGAGTACTCACAATAAACTAAAATTTCTCATAACATCTAGGTAACCTATACATGTCGTACCTGTACATCATAGGTCTATATATTAAATATTTGCAAAATGAAAACATGCATACACAAAATACGTCAAGTTTTACAGACATGATTTGAAGTAAAATTTACGTTGACAATGTACAAACTTCTTTTAAAGTACCTTAAATGAGTAATTCTGTAATTCTTCATAATTTTGAAATTTAGAGGTTTTCTTCTTAAATCTCTGGGGTGTAAATTTCAAAAGATCTGGGCAAAAAAGATTCTAAATTAGTTTTTGGATTTGTGTTCAAGTAAGAGAGTCTGCCTAGAAATAGGTTATGCATTCATAATTGAAAAATACCAAGACTATATTACAGAATTAGCCACATTTAAGAACTATAGACCTGAGGTCAGCATTTTGTTTAAATGCCAACTGGGTTTCTCAGCATTTTGCCCATAATTCAAAATACAGCTTAGCAACCTCAGAAATGTATTTTAAGACCATGCTAATTCATCCTTTAAAGACATTTCATGAGAAAAAAAAGTCCACATTAGCTCTTAGGATTGCATTTGAAGTCATGGTTAAAAAACAAAATCTAATTCTACTGAGGGGAAAAAGAAATCTCATTTGTAAACTTAAATGTGTGAACCACAAGCATAAATGGAGGTGTAGTTGCCCTCCACTGGAAATTGCCCCAAGCCCCTTGCTCACTGCTCTCCACCTTGGCAGCGATGACCCAATCTTATCAGATAGTACAGCATGTCCCAGGGCCCTCAAGCCTCCATCCAGGAAGGGGGCTGGGGTCTCAAAAGCACAATGGTTTCTCCAGAGGGACTGTGACATTTACAGTCAGCTTGGCCGACCCCTCCAGATCCTGGGGGTGATCTGTCCATTTGGGGCCCGAGATGTGAGAGTCCCTGGGAAGCCGTGGGTCACTGGGCACTATGGTTGCCAGTCCCGTGGTTCTCAGTGGCATGTGCGGTGTTCAGAGAATTGAAACCATCTTGCTGTACAGCATCTTTCCGGGGTGGCATTCTCTCATTGATCCTATCCAAACCCTTTGCCTCTTCAAAACTGCAGATTCTATGTGGTGGAGAGAATCCTCGTATTGCTTAACAAAATGCAAATTTGATAAGTCAGTAATTGAAAAACATTTCTGAGATTTCAAAAACATAATTAATGATTTTTAAGAAGAAAGAAATTAGCTGTATGTAGCAACATTTAAATCTTACTTTAACTGAACCTTATCCCCATTCCAGACTTCCCCTTAAAATGTGAAATGTTTAAACCTAAATATAAACATGATCGCTTCATAGTGTTAGCATAGCCTTTATAAAAGAACGCACAAAAATAACTCTTCTCTGACCCCAAAATTAACAAACAGGCAATGGTCTCAGGGTCTCAGTCTGACTTCTATTATACCAATTATCTCCTACCTCAGACCCTAAAATCACCAGTGACTATCACAGTAAGGCAGCAACAAGAGTAGGGGCAAGTGAGGAGGCTAAACAAGGTTATCCTTGACATACAAATCTGTACCAAGAGCTTGGGAGGAGAAAGAGGTAAGTAAAGTTAAGTTAAAATTTAGCAGATCAGATCTTGGAGGTCAAGGTATCATCACCCCATCACCACCAGAATGAAATGAAAAAGGTGGGAAATGCCTCCAGGAGTTAGGTCTGTGTTTGGCTGATAGCAAAAAGTATTCATAGTTTCAGATTTTAGGGAATGTTTTCCTTAATTCAATAGCCATTCACTGCATGTTCTTTGGAAACCCAAATCAAAATAAATAGCAATCCTCCTCCAATTGTTGTAATTTCTCATTTACTTCATCTGGAATGATGCATTTTCCACTATTAAAATGTGCATACAAAAGATTTCCATACCACTGGTTATAATCTGGTTGTTTTAACATGTGCAATCTTTGGGATTCTGAGTCTGTGCAAGTGAACCAAATAAATGGTTGGGCAGTAAAGCATTAAATAATGTGTAACATCAAGCCAACATATGATGTACATGAGTATAATATTATCAGCAAACACTAGGCCAAACAGCAAAAAATAAATAAATAAATAAATAAATAAATAAATAAATAAATAAATAAATAAAATAAAAATCATAGTGACAGCTCCTGCAGTCTCAGGTAAATTACTGAAAATCAGTAAAAACTAACTCAAACCTATACCTAGAGCGGGTTTCACTTCAGAAAAAAATGATCTGAATAGCACAGAATCATGCAAAATGTGGAACAGAGCTTTCTTTGCAACCTCAAATGCTACAATATTATAGCATAACATGCTGCACTCTAAAGAATTCAGGAACAAGTCAATGCTGGTTGCACAATATACTAGAAAAGGGAAAAACCAGATTGTCACTGTGGAAATTGGTCCTTGTGATTTAAAAAACAAAAACAAAAACAAAAGAAAAAAAAAAGAGGAATGTGACTATCAAACTCAATGAGTCAGTGAGTCTGATTCACCTTGGGCTGTGCAAACTAGGAGTAAAATACACCCACAGGACATTCTCTGATGCCCACCCACACACCACAGATCTCTGCCCAGCGCAAGGACTCTGATCGTACCTTTTTCAGCCTCAATAGCCTCAACTGTGGCTGTACAGAAGTGAGCAGAGGCATGCAAAATGAATGAGAGAGATGAGAAGGGTCATATTGTACAGCAGAAAAGGCAATGATCACTTAAAATATCACAGTATCCCATACTACATCATCATTTACAATTTAACATAAATAGTATCCACATTAGAGAGCCCATCCAATCCCCCAATTCCTGACACAGCACAGTTTACACACAGCACTATGACAACATCGCTCAGAGCACAGAACACATAGACCTAATGCAAACACAGACACCTCAGCACCCATGCAGATGCACTCCAGTATTAATTACCTATCATGAATTCAGTATTTTGATAGCCTTAGAATTTTTCAACATGTTTATTATATCACATCCATCACAATCACAAGGAAATTCTCTAAGGTGAAATTATGATGGTAGAATTGTAGCAGAAGAGCAAAGAGAAGATTCCTTTTTTTCATCTAACTGAAATAATACTCATTATCTGTTATTCCATGAGATATAAACTAGAAGGGGTCAGTAATGCTTTTCCTGTTGCTTCTAATTCATAAGGCATTGCAAAAGTCAGTATGGATACAATGAAACTTAAGGGAAGTAAACTTGGTGAATTGCTCTTGGTAGAATAGTTCTGTAGCTCTGTTGTTTGTGGGTAACCTAAAAGGACCCCTCTTATCTACTAGGAACTTCCTTTCTATTCTAATATTGATTAGTGTCCCAAACATCCACAGATACTAACGTCTACAGCCTTTACAAAAAAAAAAAAAAAAAAAAAAAAAAAAAAAAAAGCTTATGTTCAGTTTGTCATGAACTCAAATTTGCCTCTGGTACTAACAGCATGCATTTGCAAATGAAGATGGAAAGGCCAACAAACATCTTTTCAAGCCCATCTACCAACTAGAGATGACTCAAGATAGAACTGAGGTCTTTCAGGCAGTAAGTCCTGTATGATATGGACATACACATAGGTCATATAAATGAGAAATGCATTCTTAGTATAGCTGGTCTCTAGCCCATTTAGAGAATTTCAGTATTATTTGGTCACACATTTTGTAGTCAAACATTCTTTTGGCTCATCTCTGGGTTCAAAGTGTATAGAACATTCACATTTAGGACCAGAATCAAAGACTGCAGAGGACAATACTGACTGACAACATTGCAAATTTTCCACTTCACTCAAAGTGCACACACTCAGAATATTTATAACAATAATACCCCTAATACCCCATCCTTTCTATTTTGCTTCTTCTACAACAAGGCCAATTTGATTTAGAAATACTAAACTTTGTCCAAAGCAGTTATTAATGTGGAAGAAAACTGATGAATCTAACGAATTAAAGTAGACTAAATTAGGAAAGTTTGTTGATCTTAACAAGATAGTAAAGTGAACTGGGGGGGACCCAAAAGAAGTAGGTTGCACACTGAATTAAAAAAAAATTTAATTTTCCTTAACTGTTAAACTACATTACAAATCCAAGCAGACAAACTTATTGTATACCAACTATACAAATAACCACTTAAAAAATCTAGCTCTGTACATTTGGAGTATACTCTTGGAATTTTCCCAGACAGAAAACTGGGATAAATGACCCACCTCTATTTGATCAGCCCTGCAACTTCTATTCTTCAAAATATGGACTATTTTCTTTATAATTTAGGCATTGAATGAGAAAAAAATAAAATGCCTATCAGAATATGTGTTATATATGGTAACAAATTAAAAATAAAACCTGATACCACTGTAAGAATTAGTATCTAATTGAGCGTATCAGTAGTCCAAAAGTCGATTAATAAATTTTTCAAATTATGAAATGTAACAACATACTTCTGAAATCATTCTATAGGCTTTAATTTTATATATAAAAGCATGTTCTAGGTCAAATTATATTTTCTGCTCTTTCCAGAAACTCCTAAATGCTCCTAATCCTTTTCAAGATAAAAAACATATATCACACTCAAAACTGCTTGAATGTTTAGAACTGAAAAAAAGCCACTTGAAGCTTAATAATTAAGCTGGAAAGAAAGAGATCTGATAATTGCAAAATTCTATCTGAAAGGCACAATTTTTCCTCTATTTGTTTTCAGTTTTATAAGGCCTCTTGACATGACCTTAGTAGGTTTGAGTATAGTGCTGTCACAAACTGTGTTCCTCAATACTACACAGGATAAATAATTAAGAGGACTTTGGCATTACTAAAATAGAGATGGTCACATATTTTCCCATATAGGTCGTGGTGAAGACAGCATTATAGGGCTAGCTCCCAATCAAATTTCCCTGAAGAAAACAGACATAAAATATACCAATTCCTACTCCAAAAGAGTTGTGTAGTTTGTAAAAACACTCAAATTCATAAAGTTACTGAGAAGGCAATAGGACTTATTCCCTGACAACAGGACTGAGGTATTAGAATTTTAAAACTTTTTTTTTGCAATACTTAACTTTCAGTTATTCGTATCAGGGAACATGTCTACTAAAATATCAGGAAAAAATTTTAAATCACACAGATGCAGCTTCTGTATGAGTTTTATTATGTACTTAAAAATGGGTTAATATTATTATAGTAGGGAAATCACCCCACACTATCAAGAGCCATCATGGTACAGCTGGGGAGCTATCTAGTTTCCCAAATTAGACCCCTTAAACTCAGCATTGTCTTGTAACTCACTCTCCACTGGGAATACAGTCCCTTCGGTAAAGCTGTCTTTCAAACCTTCCCTGCAATTGGGGTGAGTTCAAAGTTGGAAGACTGAGCTTCAGGCTGCATGCAAATTAAAAATGCATAGAAATGCTGAGCTGCCAACAAAGCAAGTACTAATTGTGAAATCGGAAAGAAAGGTTTGCTATAGATACAATGCAAAAGTAGTAATATATCCAAGGATAATGGAGAGATGACTGTAGTGTAGATTTATTAAAGTATGAAGCCTTTCAGTTTTCCTTTTATGAACAAAAAGGAGAAAAGGTATACCATTTTTCAAGCCATTAAAGTTTATCCTCTTCTATTAACACTTTTCCTAGTTTTATTGAATGTTTAAGATCTTAGTTTTAGTGAAATTCTTTTTAGCTCATGTTGCTAATGTCTACAATATAGTAAGAGTGGAGTAAGGAATATAAAGAAAATCAAAGCAGTTTTTCTTTTAATAAAAAAGGAAACCTCATTCAGAATGTAAATTTGAAACTATAATTTTAAAACCTAGCTGTACTTCTCACATATACCAGTGGTGGTAGCAGACAACACAATAACATACAAAATAGAACATGTAATAGGCTACAAGGAGGAATTATTTGTCTACAGGAAAAATTATTTATTTGGCACTTATTATGAGACTGAGTGAAATGAAACTGTGAAAAGTCAATCTAATTTAAATTTATTCAAAAATTTGAATTATTTTATTTATTTTGTTTGTTTGTTTAAAAAAACTCACTAATTACGACACCAGAAAGAAAGTTATCTGTGACTAAGGAAAACATCAGATCTGTTGCTGCCTGTTTGAATAGAGCAATGTCCCTTGGAGGGCTGTCAAAAGTGGCTACAATAAAACATAAATTAAGACTTTCCATATCACATTTTTTGCCTTCCAACCACAAGGGAAAGAAATCTAGACTTTGAGTTATTGTGTATACGCTAAAACATTCACATCACTCTCTTCTATTTAATATGTAACGGGCTTTCAAAAAGTTAACCCAGTATTTACACAAATATTTACGCCAAAAAAAGTAAGTTTTTTTTTAAATATAAAATATTCAATGAGCCAGATTACAGGAATGCTTTACGTATAATTCTTTTTATTTTCATGCAAAATAAAGGCACACTTAATAACACCCTTTCAATTTTGACTTACAGGATTTAAATTCAACCCCTTATAACAATGACTTAATATCTAATGTTACATTCATGTTCAGAATGCACAAAGTACAGCAACAAATGCAGCAAACCTCAAAACAAGGTGCTACAGAGTTGCTTCTACATCAAAAGACAGACAAGCGTCTGATAGAGTAATTTAATTTAACATACTTTTACAGACATACAGCTAACCTAAAGAAAGACAGACAGATTTAGGAAAGCAGCTACATCTGCAGAGGAAGAAAACAGCATGTTACAGACAGTCAATTATACATAGAACATTTGACAAACACCACAGAAAACAAACTTTGGCATTATTCACCAGGGTACAAAACCTTGCACAAATCTTTTGGCAAGTGAAGTGCATAAGTAATGTTCTGGGGCCCAAGCAGACTGTTAATTCTAAAATTAAGTATCTGAAAATATAAGCATAGTCTAATACAATTACATAAATTAAAAAAATAAAAAATAAGAAACTTGGAATTACATTTCCATTTTAGTAATATGGATATCCTTGATTCACATTCAGAAACTGGGGCTCTTAAAAGAAAAGAGTGCATTAGACAAACAAAAATAAAGATTTTAACCATTATGATATGAGCTGCTCCCATATCATTTCATTAAAAGCTGAGAGACTGACCATTATTTTCAATTGAAAGGAATACCCATTCTATCAATGTTCTGCCTTGGTCAGGTTATTAACCAGACACTACCTATCATATAGTATTCTGCCTGTGTCAGCTGCTGAGACAGGAACTAAAAAGCAGAAGGAATTCCCTGCATGCATTATGTGTATTGTTAGCAAAAGAGTGAGGTGTGCCCCAGTCCATCTGAGGCACAGCAAGTTGCATAACATCATTACCACTTTGCAGGGTCTGTCGTCCTCCAGCCAACACTCCACTAGGCAACATCCCTGTGGGAGTCAGGCCCTTGAGTGTCAGCACGCTTTCACTCTCCTCCCTATTGCAAAGAGATATAACAAACATCAGAGACTTCTAACAAGTACTTAGTTCAAAAGATGAGATGGGGCCCAGAGGTAGGCCATGTATGTAATTTATGACATTCATTGTTGTTACCATATTTTCCTCAATTCCAAGATAAGACATTTTTCTATATTTTAAATGTATGACTTACAACTGACACATTACAACTGACTGTTTTTCCTGAAAAGCCTTATTAAATATATGAGATTAATCATCAATGAGAATCAAGCAATTGAGAAAATATGGTATTTCATATGCTGTAAAGTTCAAATGTCAGATATAACCAGTTTTGCAAACAAATTTTTAAGGACTGACCCATTATGTGTACCCTTAAACCTGAATTAACCCTAGGAAAACAGCTTGTGGCTCCAGCAAAGGGGACTTCCTGTATGGATGAGCAAGTTCATCAGGAATACTCTAAAAAGTACCCCCTCCTGGGGCACCTGGGTGGCTCAGTTGATTAAGCGTCCAACTTCAGTTCAGGTCATGATCTCGCTGCTCGTGGGTTCGAGCCCCGTGTCAAGCTCTGTGCTGACTTATCAGAGCCTGGAGCCTGCTTCAGATTCTGTGCCTCTGTCTCTCTCTCTCTGCCCCTCCTCCACTTGCGCTGTCTCTCTCTCTCTCTCTCTCAAAATAAATAAACATTAAAAAAAATTTTTTTTAAATAAAAAGTACCCCCTCCTTCTTATCCTGCTCTAATTTTTAAGGTGTAGAACCAGTACTTTCATCACAGAAGGGCAACACATACCAAAAGTGAGCAAAAATAATCACAAGGGTCAAAACCCCTAGTTTCAAAAGGACTTGTGTTCCCTTCTTCACTATGTAAATGTACAACTAACTTCTTTATAGGAAGAATGCTACTATGTTGCTTTTAGGTGTCAAACAGGACACTGCTTACAGCAAAGTACAATAAAAGGAATTTCTGTAAAACAAATAATCAGGAAAATGTATCATTACCTGAGAACAGAGAAGACCCTTGCCATCTTGCCAATTGCTCGAATTTTGTTTCTTATGATTTCTTTCCGGGCTGCAGCTGAACCTACTTTCAATGGAATAAATAGAAAAAAGGACTCAAGTTTAGGGCATCCACACTTGCACCATTCTATCACTACCCTATACCAGGCTCATCTTAACCAACACCAAACCCTCTGCCCACCAGCTCACATGAAGGAGACTTAATGAACTCATGCCAAAAAGCTTCTTACTCCTTCACTGTTTAGCTCAGCACTGGTCTAAGACTGGGGTTTGATACAGATACAAATGAAAAGTAATCCACAAACATTATGACTCTCACGCTACTGCTAATCAGTAAAACAGCAATGGGAAAGAAACTAGAATCCAACCTGTATCACAAACCAGAGAACAAAAATAATGCTAACAATCCTATCGTCTTTATTTAATTCTCATGAGAGCCTATGGCATGCAGACTAACAGACAAGAGTTGGTAATAACTGTATAGTCTTCTATTTAACTATTATAAAAGCCTCTGACATGCAGGCAGGAAATATCCCATCTTACTATGATAAAGTAAGTTCCTTGCTCTAAGTGGTTTAAAAACAATGGTATACAATAACTACTGTGCAGATGGCGCTGAACTAAGGTCCATACTAATATTTCAACAATAATGCACATCTTAACCTCATGGACTAGACGTCCTCAAAGTCATGCAAATATATACAATCTCTTATATCCCTAGGTGAGTATGACACAAGGAGAGTGAACAAGAAAAGATTCCCTAAAAAACATGGCTAAAGGATCACTGTTACCTCTATAAAGGGTTGGCTGTACTGCCTATCACTGGTACAGAAGAGACTATACCAAAATAACTTGATCTTTGGCTGAAGAAAAACTCAAAATTGTATCTTCCTTCCCTTGGCCTCCAGAAAGAACAACAATCTCAGTCCTGTTATCTCATATATAGCAACTAGAATCACTCTGGACCCAAGAGTGTGGTTCCTTAGAGCTGTGCTTCAACATGATGAAAACACACATATGGAAGCACCATGGTTGAGGAGAAAGTTAAGGAAAAGCTAAAGAGACTAGACTAAAAGGGGCCATAGGTACACAGAGGTCTGAACAACCATAAGTCTTCTGGGCTAGAGCATCTCATTTAAAATTCAAGCAGCCCACAAATACCATATAATTAAAAACTAAGATGATGACTGGACCCTACCACAAGGAAACAGAGAAGAAATCTAATTTCAAAGACGAAAACAAAAGACATATTTTAGAGAAAACAGGCTCCATGACCATGTTTATGATGCTCTAAAGGGTAATATTATGAGCAATGAAGCTACAGTTTTTACAAATACAAAACTGTGTAGGTACCATGGTATTACACAGTGTTTTTAAGATGCCAAAATACTACTAAAAATCTCAGAATCATAGAACATTAGAATTTCAAGAGACATTAGGGATATATTGCAAAGTTTAATTTCATTTTCTAGACAAAGAAACTAAATTTATTAAATGTCTTGTCCAAGGACATAAGGGAAGTCTGATCTCTTTGAATGAATTAACACAAACATTTTGTTTTAAAATGGACAGAATTTTAAAAACAGCTAGACTGGGGGAGAGGAGTATGAGGATGGGAGAGGATGGCTGCAATGAGGCACATTCATATTTTCAGCCTTAATTTATATACATATAAAACTGAATGATATGTAAACTATACTGATTTCAAATTTTAAAAAGTCACTGGGATATAAAAACACTATACAAGTCAGGATTTAAAATCAGTCTACAAACACATCATGCATAATATTAAAGTAAATGTCCACAGTAAAATTACTCTGGGGAATAAGACAGACAATCAAACACCCCTAATCATGCAGGGAAAAGTACAAAACATTACAAATAAGCAAAAGAATGAAATTTTAAAACAAGAGGAATGAAAAAGAGGGAAAAATATTTCCATGCACAGAAAGACAGATATCTTGGAATATGACTTCTAAAAACATCAAATTCTAACTCATATAAAACTTAAACTAAATTTGCAAAAGGCCCAAGAGGACTCTGCATCAATAGTATTCAATGAATGTGCTAACTTACATGGATATGAGGATAACTTATGAAGTCATATTTCAAAACAATGTTACTCTGTCTGGTCTGTACCTTTTTTATTGCCATATATGAGCCGTTCTTCAGATGGAGAGTCCAGAAAAAAGGAAGTGAATGATGGAGAAAAGGTGGTTGAGACAAATAAAAAGATAGAGATTTAACTTGGCAGTGATACTGAAGAATGAATGTAGAAAGAAAGGGAGAAAAATGAAGGCCCTCATATTCAAAATTTGAAAAATGTAGTATTGTAGGATCTAGTGAATAAAAGAGGGATGCCACTGGCTAGAACTCTAAAGGAAAGATTTCTTAAAAGATATGTGTTCAGAAGAAATTATGGACAGAATGACTATAATATTTGATGAAAGTAGACAAATTAGGGACAGAAAAAAAACACGTGAAAACACATAAGACTGATAAGAGACTGTGCAAACAACAATCGCCCATTTATATTGATACCCCTAAGGAAATGTGTCACCCATGGGAATATGTTAAGTGAAAGGTAATGACACAAATGATATACAAACTCATGTGGTTCTTCAAGGACACCAACATCTGTAAAATCTATAGTATACACAGAGAAATGTGGGTAACTTCATAAACTACCTCAGTGGAAAATCTTACCCACTCCCAATAATGAAAAGGCTAAGCCTCCCACACTCCATAATAACAAGAGCACACAATTTCTTGAATCTGAATTGTAGAACTTTTGCACATACTCAACATCAATAGTATGTGCTTTCTGTTCCCAATCCAATCTGGGAGCTTTTGAGACATCTTTTTGCAGAAATAGCAACAGACTGTTTCAAGCAAGTAATATCTCTAAGAGAAGGCAGTAGAGATGTTTCATTTGAGCTTTCCATATCTTCCATTCTAATGCAGAGATATATGATTCCATTACAGGAAATGCAAAGTTTTAGTTTAGTAAAACTACAACACATGTGGGTTACGTATTTCCTTTACCAAACTCAAGACAAAAGATAAATATAGGAAAGAAATAGTATGCATTCTAAAAATCACAGACATCAGTGTTCAGAAATTCTCTTTAGTGATTAAATAATACCTCTAAAAAGAATGTGCATTTATACATGCAATATGTTTATGCAAATTTTTGCCTTTAAAAATAAATCCACATATACATTAAACAATACAGAATACCAGAGATCATCACTTAAGAGGCTTATTCCTTTACCCAATCTCAGGCTTACATATGCAAAAACTATTCTTTCTTTCCTGCCACTGGGAAATCTCCATTCCTGCTCTCTCCCTTTCCCCACAGAAAAGCTAAACCTTCCTAAGCAATCCGCCCCCACCCGCCCCACCAAGTTTTCTTTCTAAACCAGATTTCTCCCCATGCCCAGCTCATAGGATGGTTCCACTGCTGAGTAGGAAAAGGGAAAGGAGAGGACAAAAGACATGCTATTATGGTGAAAGGAAAGGAGAACAATGTACAGAATTAAGGGGAAGAAATACAGGAATATGACTAAGAAAAGGAAATAAACCTAGTTCCAGTAGCTCTTTTCCCTATCCCACCCTAGTACCTATCCTAATGTCCTCCCCTTTCCTCCATTCCTCAAGGGTCTCCCCCAAACCATTCTTAGTCCTCCATACAAACTCCTAGATTCATACTCTTAAATTTTTCTTGGAGTCTCTACTCCCAATACTTAGTATGGAAGGGTGAAGAAATGAGTAATTACACCTGCTATGTTGGCAGTGAAGGGAGATCTATTTCTATATTCAAAGCTGGAACTCAACGTATTTTCCCACAGAAACACTGTCATAAATGACAGCTTAGCAATTTAAAATTATTTCCTTTCTATTCCTTCAATCCATGGATGAGAAGATCCTGGGAAGTGAGGTGACTTCTCCAAGATTACACAGCTAGCATAATGGTAGCACCAAGATACCTAAACCATCGATCCTTTTCACTAAACTACACCACCTCTTTAATGATCCAACTTAACTCATCCCTGAAGTGCAAGAATAATATAACAAGCGGATAAATAAGCATAATTTATCTTTGATAGGAAAATGTTGATTAGATACATAAAATCTCATTAGAAGGAATATAATAAAATTTTGTATGTATTCCTGGTTGAATCCCAAAAATGATTCAGTGTCTATCTTCATATAAATCATAAATATCTAAGCCAAGTACTGTAGTAGACTTAACAAAGAAATTTTTTTTCCTTTTTTTTATAGGAAGAGGACTAAAGCATTACCTATCACTACTCCTATTTAAAATATTTTTAAAAACCACTATTAATAATATTGATACAAATTTGTTAAAAATAAAAATAAAGGCAAAATGTAGAACATAAGTGCCTTATGTAAATAACAGATTTTTAAAAGGTAAGGAAAACAAAATAAAATTTACCACAGGAAATAATATTGCTGATCCAGGTTCTCAAACATAAGATAAACCCACAAATACATAATGTACACCTTATACACAGAAAACACATCAAGAGATACCAGTTATAATAGTATCAGAATATAAAATGCTAAAATATTAATTTAACTTGATGATAACAGATTTTTTCAAAGAAAAATTATATAATTTTAAATGGAATAACTGTACGTTAAATACATTAAATGAAATAGTTAAATGAACTATTATATAAAGCGAGATATCTTGATCTTAGTTTAGAAAACTAAATTATTAAAAAAAAAAACTTCCTAGATGAAGATACAGATTTAATGATATACTAATTAAAACTACTACTAGATATTTCACAGAATTTAACAAATAATAGAAAACTTTACCTGAAAAAACTAGTGAGCTACGAACCAAAAATTATTGCAGTCATTATATCAATACCTGTAAGATTATGAAGTAGGTACTATTACTTTCATTTTGAAGATAAAATAACTGAGACTTAGAAAGGCTAAGTAATTTGCCTGAGGTCATATAGTCATTATGAGAAACTAGAATCTAAACCCAGACTTAGTCTAACAAGAGAAAAGGGTTAAGGTGACAGAACATGGAGAAAAAATATTTAATTAAAACTATTTACGGGGCGCCTGGGTGGCTCAGTCTGTTAACCATCCGACTTTAGCTCAGGGCATGATCTGACAATTCATGAGTACGAGGCCCACATTAGGCTCTCTGCTGTCAGCGCAAAGCCTACTTCAGATCCTCTGTTCCCCTTTTCTGTCCCTCTCTCAATCACGTGCTCTCTCTCAAAAATAAATAAACATTAAAAAAAAAAAAAGGAAGAAAAAACTACTTAAAATTTTATGGAAAAGACAGATACAAGAAAGTATGTTAGAGCTAAAAACTTCTACACAAACATCAAAAGGAGAATTAAAATAAGAAAAAATATTACTCATTAAAGTTTATTATCCAAACTAAAAAAATGGATATAAATAATTTATTTCAATTAATGAAACTACAAACCAGAGTAAAAGCACATCTCTGTTTGCCACCAACAGATGGCAATAGCAGACACTCGTATACAGTTACTTTGTACTTTTAACAAATGGGCTTACAACAGTGTGTAAGAATTAAACCTGTTCGTAAGCAGAGAAATTTCTAAATAGTTTTTACTCAGGTTGTACTTTAATAAGTGATCAATTAAAATATACAGTTTATACAGTTGAAAAAGTAGGCAGTTTTTTTAATTAACAATCATTAGAAAATCAAAGAAATATAAATAAATTAAACCAACTATAATTCACTACTAGGTAGCTACCAAGCAAAATAAATAAAGACAAAAACCAATGAGGTGGGCCTGTGGAGAAAACCATGGCAAAAAGCACTTCATATTGCTCCAATTCTTCTGCAAAGTAATCTGGCAGTTCATAGCTAAAATAATGAAGCTAAAACACATATTTAATTCTGTAATTCTCTTCAAGAAATTCACTCCAAGAAAAAAAAATATATACTGTATAAGCATATTTATTGCATGCTATTCATAATAAGGATAACTGAAAGCAACCCAAATGCCAAACAATATGAGATTAACTGAAAATTATGGTATATTAATAACCTAGAAATATGTAGCTATTAAGTTTTAACAATACATAGACCATGTTTAATACATGGAAACAATTATATACTGATTGCAATTATGAAAAGAATGCTACAACAAAGATGTCAGGGGCATATGGAAGGAAATAAAGAGTTTCAGCTTTAAGTTGTTTACATTTTTGTTTCTCAGTGACTTTAAATTTTAAAAAATATTTATACTTAAAAAGTTTCAAGTAAAATTTCAAGGGGTGCCTGGGTGGCTCAGTCGGTTGAGCGTCCGACTTTGGCTTAGGTCATGATCTCACGGCTTGTGAGTTTGAGCCCCGCATCGGGCTCTGTGCTGACAGCTCAGAGCCTGGATTCTGCTTCAGATTCTGTGTCTCCCTCTCTCTCTACCCCTCCCCAGCTCATGCTCTGTCTCTGTCTCTGTCTCTCTCTCTCTCTCAAGAATAAATCAAACATTTGAAAAAAAATTTTTGAAGACATAAAAATAAAAGGAATTTTGTTTCTATAGTATTAATTTACACTATAAATGCACATCAGTACACATCCTGGTGGGCTTGCTTAAGAACAAACAGCCATGTCTAACCTTCAGAAACCATTTCTGAAAATCAAACTAAACTAACAAGTGGTCTCTTAGAACACAACCACTCATCAGTTGGGAATAGTCTACTTTAGTTTCGGGGGAAAAAATGACAACAACATTGGGGGTTCAGGTATGTTTCTGATGCACTAAGAATACTGTACCAATGAAACAAAAAGCATTTTTATATCATCCCTGTAAGTGGTGCCCATATTCATGAAGAACCACATTCTTAGGTACCTTTCAATTTTCCTTTCCTTCTGTTCTTCCAAATTTCCCCTTTCCCAAAATTCATCTTTTTCCCCATACCAACATAAAAAAGTAATATTACTAAAATGATTTTAACATCTTAATATCTGAAAAATTGTCTTGATACTTATCAAATGACACAGCCATTTGAGAGCAATGACTACATTTTGCAAGACTATGTAGTGAAGCTGGGCAGTTCAAAAATACCATTTCATAATAAAAAATAGTAAAATGAATAATCATACCATCAAATTGGTCTTCACCTTCAGTCATCAGTTCATCATCAGAGCAAATACTCAGAACATTTACCAACATTTCTGTCACTATTCAAAAAAACAAACAAAAAAAAAAAAACCAAAAAAAGTTATATGTTAGCTGACCAAATGCAAATGTCTATATGCACACACAGCAATTATTCACATAACAGTCAAATGATTTTTAACCCAATTGAAGAATGAAGAAGCTAAAAGAAAATACCAAGGTTTTCAAAATGAAAGAAGTTCAATGGATAACAAGTCTAAGAGCGATTCTGCACAGAGTAAGTTTTCAGGGGTCTCAGAAAAAAAATGAAGCCCCACAGAGATAAATAACATCTAAATGTATACATTTAAATTCTCCATTTATGGATATAGCATGTCCTTACAGAGTAAGAAAAAACTTACAGCACAGTTTCACTGTTTCAAAAAAGTCCCAGGATTCAATTTTTTTAGAAAATGGACTCTAACAAATCCCTTGAAACTTAATTCTTTTTTTTTTTTAATGTTTATTTATTTATTTAGACAGAGAAGAGCATGAGCAGGGGAAGGGAAGAGAGAAAATCACAAACAAGTTCCATGCCATCAGCACAGAGCCTGCACGACATGGGGCTCAATCCCACAAACCATGAGATCTGTGTCTCCCTCTCATAACCTGAGCCAAAATCAAGAGTCAGATGCTCAACCAACTGAGCCATCCAGGTGCCCCAAAACTTAATTCTTAAGATTACAAATGACTAACAACCTGAACCTATGGTTCTTTCTTAGTCTTACTCCTCCTTTACCATTCTACATATTTTTCTCTTCTCTTTTCCCTTAGTTTCCAGGATTCTACTCCTTTGGTTTTCCTACATTTCAGACTATTTCCCCCCTAAATCTGGATATTTTCAAGACTCTCTCAGCACAATCTCTCGGTGATTTTATATGCTCAATCTCTTGGCAATTCCATCTATAACTACAGAGTTTCAAGTATCACCTTTCTGAAGATTATTCCCCAGTCTGTATCACCAGTCTTGACCTCACCTTCAGTCTCGGGATTTCCTTGCTGGTATTATTGCCAACTATCTTAAACAATTTTATATTGTCTGTTTCTCCTACTAGAATGAAAGCTTCATGAGTGCAGGGTGATGTTTTGTTTACCACTGTACCTCAGAGTCTAGTACAATGCCTGGTAGAAGACAGGCATCCAATATTTGACAAATGAGTAATTTAAAAAAGAAAAGTGTAAGCAAGTTTCAATTAATAAATAAAAATGCCTATTGACTATAACTCTCTGGATGTCCTAATGGCACTTAGAAATGAACACATCCAAAACAAAATTCAATACTGCTCCTATTATTCCTCCTATAAATATATTAATAGCACACCACATGCCAGGGACTGTGCTAAAGCTCTGGGAATCAAATATAAAAGGTCCAGTCTCTACTCACCAGAAGCTTCCTAAATACTAAAGAATAGATAGATAGATAGATATAGATGTATAGACATAGATATATAGATACACACACACACACCCCACAGAAGAGTGATGAGCCCTATGCTTTAAGTATGCAGAGGTATACAAAAGACCTGCAGGGAAAAGGAAGGCTTCTGGTAGAGGAATCATGCAGTAGGAGTTTGTCATGTAGAGAGGGCACATAAGGCATTCTAATCATAAGTTAGAAAAAGTATGAAGTAGTCATATAGATGAATGGAATAGAACAAAGAGTCCAGAAATAAACCTCACTTTAAAATTAATTAATTTTTTTAAAATTTACATTCAAGTTAGCTAACATATAGTGTAATAATGATTCAGGAGTAGAATTTAGTGATTTATCACTTACATATAACATCTAGTACTCAACCTGACAAGTGTTCCCCTTAATGCCCCTTGCCCATTTATCCAATCCTCCCACCCCAAGCCCCTCCAGCAACCCTCAGTTTGTTCTCTGTATTTAAGAGTCTCTTATGGATTGTCCCCCTCCCTGTTTTTATATTATTTTTGCTTCCCTTCCCTTATGTTTATCTGTTTTGCATCTTAAATTCCCCATATGAGTGAAGTCATATGATATTTGTCTTTCTCTAACGTCGCTTAGCATAATAACGTCTAGTTCCATCTATGTTGTTGCAAACAAAACCTCACATTTAAGGTCAACCGATTTTCAACGAGGGTGCCAAAACAATTCAGTGGGGAAAAGAACAGTCTTTTCAACAAATGGTGCTGGGACAACTGAATGTCCCCATGCAAAAGAATTAAATTGGACCCCCCACTACACATCATATATAAAACTTAACTCAAAATGAATCAAAGATTGAAATATAAGAGCTAAAACTATAACACTTCTAGAAGATATCATAGAGGTAAATCTTCATTAGTTTAGATAAGGCAATAGTTTCTTAAACATGACACCAAAAACAAAAGCAACAAAAGAAAAAATAAATAGAGGACTTCACCAAAATTTAAAACTCTTTGCTTCAAAGGACACCGTCAAGAAAGTGGAAAGACAACCCACAGTACAGGCGAAAATGTTTACAAATGATGTATCTCACAAGGAACTTGCAACTAGAATATATAAGGAACTCTTACAACTCAGTAATAAAAAGAAAACCCATTTAAAAATGAACACAATATTTAAATAAATGTCTCTTCAAAGAAGACAAGCAAATGGCCAATATACTACAAGGCTACAGTAATCAAAACAGTATGGTACTGGCACAAAAAAAGACACACACCAATGAAAGAGAATAGAAAGTCCAGAAAGAAACTCACGCTTATACTGCCAACGGATCTATAACAAAGGAGACAAGAATATATAACAAAGAAGACTATCTCTTCAATAAATAATATCTGAAAAACTGGACAGCTACCTGCAAAAAAATGAAACTAGACCTCTTTCTTACACCATACACAAAAATAAATTCAAAATGGATTAAGACCTAAAAGTAAAACCTGAAACCTTAAACTCAAAGAAAACAGGCAGCAAACTCTTAGACATTGGCCTTAGCAATATCTTTCTGGATCTCTCCTCAGGCAAGGGAAACAAAAGCAAAAATAAATAATTGGGATGTATCAAACTAAAAAGCTTTTGCACAGTGAAGGAAACCATCAACAAAATGAAAAGGCACTCTACTGAATGGGAGAAAATATTTACAAATGACATATCCAACAAGGGGTTATTACCCAAATATATAAAGAACTCATAGAACTCAACACCAAAACAACAACAACAACAATAACAACAACAACAACAACAACAAAACACCAAACAATTCCATTAAGAAATGGGCTGAGGACTTTAATAAACATTTTTCCAAAGAAGACATACAGGTGGGCCAACAGACACATGAAAAATGTTCAACATCACTTATCATCAGGGAAATGCAAATCAAAACCACAATGAGATATTACCTTACACTGGTCAGAACGGCTTGTATCAAAAAGATAACAAGTATTGGCAAAAATGTGGAGAAAAGGGAACTCTCAGGCACTGTTGGCAGGAATGCAAACTGGTGCAGCCACTACAGAAAACTGTATGGAGGTTCCTCAAAAAATTAACAACAGAAATACTATATGATCCAGTAATTTTACTTCGAAGCACCTACCTGAAGAAAACAAAAACACTAATTCAAAAAGATATATGTACTCCTATGTTTATTGCAGCATTACTTAAAATAGCCAAGATATGGAAGCAACCTAAGTATCCACTGATACATGAATGGATAAAGAAGATGTGGTATATATACACAATGAAATATTACTCAGCCATAAAAAAAGTATGAAATCTTCCCTGTGCAACAACATGGATACACCTAGGGGGTATTATGCTAAGTGAAGTATGTCAGACAGAAAAAGACAAATACCATGTTATTTCACTTATATGTAGAATCTAAAAAAACAAAAAACAGAAATAGACTCATAAATACAGAGAACAAACTGGTGGTTGTCAGAGAGAGGGCAGGGGGATGGACAAAATAGGCAAAAGGGATTAGGAGGTACAAAGTGCCAGTTATAAAAGAAAATAAGTCACAAGAATGAAAAGTACGACATAGGGAATATAATCAATAATATTGTAATAACTTTGTATAGTGAAAGATGGTTAACTGTACTTAAGGTAAGCATTTAGTAATGTATTTAACTGTCAAATCACTATGTTGTACATCTGAAACTAGTATAATATTGTATGTCAATTACAATTCAATTAAAAAATTTTTTTCGGCTTCTGGGAAGATGATGGCAGGTGGATGTTGGGCTCACCGTGTCCTGCGGCATACTTAAATTCCACCCACACCTGCCTAAATAACCCAGAAAACCGCCAGAAGACTAGCAGAATGGATTCTCCGGAGCCAAGCATAGAGGAGAGGTCCATGAAAGAGGGTAGGAAGGGCGGAGAGGTGGTGCGCGCTACACGGACTGGCGGGAGGGAGCCAGGGTGGAGGGCAGCCTGCCGGCAAAGCAGAGCCCCCGAGTCTGGCTTGCAAAAGCAGAGGGGCTGGACAGAGTGTGTTCGGACAGCAAGCGGGACTTAATATCTGGAAGGTTATAAGTTAACAGATCTGCTCGGAGAGCGGGAGGGCTAGAGGACAACAGGAGGGAGAGTTGTTGAGCCCCGGACAACAGAGCGCAGCTTGGCGGGGAACAAAGGCGCTCACCAGCGCCATCTCCCTCGCCCATCCCCCAGCCAAAATCCCAAAGGGAACCAGTTCCTGTGAGGGAACTTGCTTGCACCGCACAAACACCTAACGCTGTGCTTCTGCGGATCCATCCCTCCAGCGGGTCTGACTCACTCCCCGAGCTGCAGGACCCCTCCCGAAGTGGACCACTGAGGGATAAGCGAGCTGAGCCTGCCCCTCCCACCCCCGTGCACCTTGCCAATCCACCCCAGCTAATACGCCAAATCCCCAGCACCACAAGCCTGGCAGTGTGCAAGTAGCCCAGACGGGCCATGCCACTAGGAGAGGGGAAGAGAAGGTACACACCAGTCTGACTGTGGCCCCAGCGGTAGGCTGGAGGCAGACATCAGGTCTGACTGCGGCCCCGCCCACCAACGCAAGTTAATTAAGACAGCACAGGGGAAGTGCCCTGCAGTTCC